TGTGTTGTTGCTTTTACAAGATATACCTGCAGTCACGGCTCCTCAGGGGCGGCAGGGTCGACCAGGCCGTATACCTACTAGACGCAAACATTTAGTGGGTTTATGGCTTCATACCATTTTAACTCTCATTATAATTCAATAAGCCGGCTCGGTTGTAGCAATACAACGTAGGTACTTGGACGATTAGCACACTGAAGATAAATGTTATTTTTTAGCAGTGGCTAGTTGCATGTTGCATGAAGTGGGCCGGATTATATTTGTAAATATATATTGGAATTTGTATACAAATTCACGATGAATACTGTTTGCAATATAGTTGATACGAAAGGCGACTTTGTTAATTATTATTATTGATACATAAATTTAAAAAATTAACTTATAACAACAAAGTTTTTGTGAAATAGGTGACTGTTCCTCGACCATTAATGAGCAATTTGATTCAAGCAAAGGCTGGTCATAACCATGTATTTTCTAAAACATTACGGTAAATACCCTTGGTTAATTGGCAGCGAAACACGTAACAAATTATTTTACTGATATTGTTTATTATTTTCGGAATTCAAGAACCCTTTTATAACTCTAGTGGTTATGATAATAAATTTAAAAGAAGAATTATGTTAAAACATTTAATAAATATCATTATTTTTCTCTCAACACAAGAAATAACATTGCGAGGTAACGATGAAACAAGTGGTTCGGATAATAAAGGCAACTTTAAGGAGTTAGCAAAATTTGCTGTGACATTAGATGAAAATTTCACAAAATTCATTGACCGACTCACGTTCTTTGCACACGAGCCGTCACTACGAAGTATTTACAGTAATTGAAAAAATTCTTCAAATACTGATATAACTTCCAGTTTTTTCTAATTTTATACTTTTGCATCTATTTTTTGCCTAAAACCTAGACACCACTTTTCACCCCCTTAGGCCGAAAATGCTTAAATACGTATTTCCTTAATTGTATTGAGGAGGATTAAAATGTACCAAGTTTCACGTCACGATGTAATTTTGCAGTAGACATATTGGTCCTGTACAAATTTTATCACCCCTTTTCACCCCCTTAGGAGATGAATTTCGATAAATCTTTTGTTAAACGATGCCTCTAGTATAAAATGAACATTTTCTCCAAATTTCAACTTACTAGCATTAGAGATTTGGGCTGGGCGTTGATAGGTCAGTCGGGACATTGCCTTTTACGAGTAGGTATATATAAAAATAATTTAAATCGAAATATTTAATAAAACACTCATTTAAGGTAATCCCACGCTTAGGGAAACTGTTTTTTGATCAAGACTCCTTTCTTTTGAAGAACTAGGCTGCTGTATTGGAAGGGTTATTTTTCGATGAAAACAGTCCCCCACTGGCGAAGCTTGCGGTTTGGAAACAGCTAAAATATTTTAGAAATTTTGTTTTCGGGTTGCCATCATCATTTGTTGGTCTTGGTCAGGAGACTTGGGTGCAAAACGAAAGGAGCCATCACGTGGTCTCTGTTTATTACGGTCGAGTCCATTATTCGTTCGAAGGGGAGAATGTTTGCAGTGGCGTGCACCCAAACCCAGATTATATTATTTGTGCCACATTTAATAACAGTAATATTTTTAAGAATATGCCACACATACAGATACATCTTTTTTATGTTACGTTTTTTTCGTACTAGGTAGTTTACTTATTGCAGTAGTAATTTTGACATTTCATGCAACAGTAGATAACGTTAAAAATGTTGAAGCAGTGCATTTACATGTGCAAGAGGAACTGAAACAGTATTTTTTTAAAGGGAACCCATGTCTTCTTCTTTCTGGAATCTGTCAATGTTTTGGCTTAGGCGAACGGAGTTCTGAAATACACTGTAAGGTATATTTATTTCTAAAAAATAATAATTAATTTTTTCAAATAGTCCAAATTAGGTTTGTAATTAAATGTGAGTGAATACTGCTGTAAAATATTTACTTTTTAAATTTAACACAACAATTCCTTCTTCTGCACCTGTGGAGCGGGTGTTTAACAGCGAAAATCAAATTCTTACACCAAGAAAAAATAATTTAGGCAGCAACATACCTATTTGAAATATTAATTTTAAAAGATGCATTAAAAAAATAAATAGAAACTTGTTATCAGTTGTTTATTGGTCAAAATTTCAAAAAATATCTATATTTTGTATCTGTTATCTAGATACATTTCGAAAAAATTGAAAACAATCTGTATCTAGACAATTTTAAAAGTATCTGTCCCCAACACTTCCCCTACGTACGTTTCCGTCTTTCTGTTTGTCTGTCTGTCTGTCTTTACCTGACTAAAGTAGTCTCAACGCTTTTACGATATTTATTAGTTATTACAGTTATGCTTAAACAATTATAAGTATTATTATCACAGTAAATAATTTTATCGTTAAGTTGACAATGTCCTTTTTATTAAACAAAGCAGAAAATTATCGCAATAAATAAAGATACCTGTACATATGAAATGCTTTAGGATTAGGAGCAAACTCATCTTAAAACTAATTTTCACGTATTGGAGAACCAAGGACAGATTTTGCACAAAAAAATGTTTGTTGAAAAAACTTAGCTCGATAGCCAAAGAGTCAAGTTTTTACTCTCATAAAGTAACATTTGAACTATTTAATTTTGTGTGATTCATAGTCATAATCAAACACTGATCATTGAACTAAATGTTGTTCATGTTTAAAAGCGATCTCTAAGTTTTTAATATAAATCTTTTACAAATTTTTGTAAACTCTGGAGCTAGTGTCACGACAAACTTGTATTCATAAAAGTCATATTGGGAACGTTATATTTTTGTTCATAAATCAAATAACTTCACAATTATTACAAAAACACAAACATGTTGAGAGACCTATAATTTATAATATTAAATGAAATAGGAAAATAAAAACATTAAACTTATGCCAAAACAAGAAAATCAGACCGTGAATTTGAGAGTCTGTGTTAAGAATGCAACGATCAAAGACACATTTTCAACAATCCGTGGCTGGTATAAGAAACAATAGATTTAATATTATTAACAAAATTCCTTCAAAAAAAGGACAAATAAACGACCCGTATCATTCAGTCTATTTAATTTTACCGAACTCCATTCGACTCTTTCTGTAGGTTATATTACGGATACTAGAAGCTCTAATGGTCATTGTGAAGTTAATGACATAGCTAAAAGTAAGAAGAAGACCGAAATGTCGGTAAATATTAATAGCTCATAAATCAATATAAACGTCATAAATAAAAGTCCAATTTCCTGTCACGAACTACATTTACTGAACCATCCTGGACACTTATCTCAATTAAAGTGAAGTTGTTATTTTTTTTTCTGTAGTAACTCACATGCAAATTTAAGTATGCTTTGCGTTAATTTACAAGAGTATTAATGCAGAAAATAATGATTATTCAATCCTTAGCAGCAAACGATCTCAGCTATATTCGATAAAAATGTTCTCATTAAAAGTTTAAATGAACCACATTTGACTATGAAAAACAGTGATCAATATACTCCCTAACACCCTGTTATAAAAAATTTATTAAGTTTGAAGGGAGTCGTAGGATTCAGTTTAATAATATAATTGATGGTCAAGTAAACTCCAAAAACTCTTTACAAGGTATCAAGTTATTCGTTCTTTGAACTGCAATCTGCTGACATAAAAATAAGTGGATTCAGTAAAGAGAACAGTTCAATGAATTTTTAAATGTTATGTTATACACAAGGTCTTAAAATGTCGATTTGTCAAGTTGGATAAATTTGGTTGTCGCATTTTTAAGCAGAAATTAGAACAACTTTTGCTTTTTAAGTGGAACTACCGCTGTTTTAAAACCATGCTGTCAATTCTGATGTCATGTAATTTGTAGGACGAAGAATAATTAGCATATCGACTACGTTTCACTAATTACAGTTGTTTTAACTATTGCTGAATTCCTAATTTGACTTAATAAAAAATTTTCTAATGCAATCTGTAGGTAGTTAATATCAAGTTGCCATATTGAGCAAATTGTAACACTTTCGAAGAAAGTTTAAAAAGGAGTATTTTTTCATTTCGTTGTCATTAACTCATTTTCTTAACAAATAATGTCCACATTTTTAATTATTTTCCCAAATGAGACTTAAAATTTCACACTATTTTGCTATAATTAAAATACTTAATTGGACAGTTCCTCTGAGCGTCGGAAAAAAGTTATTTTTTATTTATTTCAAAAAAATAATGCTTCGACTTCATTACACATCTCCACGTTTCTAACACAAATGACGATTGACAGTAACAATTTCACAATAATACCTAGTATTCTCGTATTAATAATATTGATTTCCTCAAAATATAAATTACAAACTTCGTGCTTCTATAATTTATTTAAGAATAAGAATTTATAGCTTCAAAAGATACATTCAAGGCTGAAATGGTTTTCCATAAAAAATCTAATTCAATGCAGGAAGACTCTTGCCTGAATGAAATATTTTCCAGTTGTTAAATCCTTTAAAAAACGTGCCCTATAAATCCATAAATGTAATTTGAAAGTCGTTGTTGAGTAGGGATGAAAGCTTATAAAAAGCACATTTCATATCATTTGACAGGCCAAAGCGGAAACAGCCCTCCGACAGAAACTAGTTGAGGTGACAAGTAGGTATAGCATCCTACCCCCATACAGTCAGGGGCGGCATGATTTCTCCACACAATGCTTTGGTCACAGTGAAACCCCTCATTCGGAAGGTGAATTCACAAATAACTATTATTAATGAAATGACAGGCGCAACAATAAAACCAAATTTGCGGTTAGTGACGATATCTTTTTAGACAAATTTTTGCGAACTTAGCTAAAATACTGCTTTATAAAAATTACACTATTATATTGTAAACACGAAGGACGATAGAAAAACAAGATAAGCATTTAGATCATACGATACAGGTTTGTAAATGGGTTATTATTAATGTTTTAGCAATTTATTGTGGTTAGTAGTACACAACTTGTAACATTTAGTAACAACCAAACAAAAATTACTCACATGGCTGAGACCGCCGTTGCCTATAATTCACATTTCCATACGTACAAAATCTTTCCAAACTATGTACTGCCTCTGGAGGCCACATTTTTTCATGGTTTTTGAATCTTCAAGCATTCCTAATGTTGTTGCCATCCTGTACAAAAATAATAAATGTGTAATAAACTGCAAAATATTAAAAATAAAGTAATATTTAATATTTATATTTTGTTAATGTGGAAAATTACCCCATACATCAAGAATTTTTAGCTAATAAGCATTCACGTTCGGTAGAAGTAGCTAACAGAAAGTTTTCTGTGGTTAAGTTGCAATCTTAAGATCACTAGAAATTAAAGATTGGTATCAACTGTCTAATTTTGTAATTCAAATGTCAAATCTGAATTGTCTGGAAAAAAAACGAAGTTTTTCTAATTTCAACACGCTTCGTTTGAAGAAAATCCTTAAATACAGCGTGGAAACAATTTCCACAAAAGTGGTCACGAGAAAGCCCATTTTAAAGGAAAAGAAACAAGAAATATTTCGTGGTTTTCAAAAAATTACAGAGAAAAATAGACAATCTTTGGGTAAAACGCAAACAGTTAAACTGGTGGCAGAAATATTTTCCGTAAAGTTCGCTGGTGTTCTCGAGTGTTTTTCGAATTTTAAAATAATACCGATACAACGGCGTCGGTGCCGTTAATATATATTATACTCAGAATCAGAAAGACGACTGCCCAGATTTATATACCTACATGCTTTGTTGGGTCCGCCCTACAATTGGTTTTTAATTTTATATAATCGTTATTGTTTTGTAAACGGGAAAATACTCGGCTTGGAGAATAATTGTACGTAATACACGTATAAATTTAGATTTCCGAAGGCGAAGTTTTTCACATTAAATAGCTACCAGAATCAAATTTCTAAAGCGGTATCTCTAATTGCGTGATAGTGGTGAAGATTTACTTTTCATTTTCTTGGATGAGACATGGATATACCAGAACGGATCCATGGTGAAATTGTGGATCCATGATGATGACATCGAAGCTTGTCCTCCTAAAATAACTAGTGAAGGGAAAAGATTCACAATTTTACATGCGGGTTGCTCTTTGGGCTTTTAGAGGGATACAATTTTCTCCTGGATTCAAAAATAGATTCAGCAGATCACCACAAAACCATCACATTTTCGATATTTGATATTTACTTACTTACATGTCACATTTTTGATACCTACTTTCTGACATTCCAATTATACATTATACACTAGAACAATTATGTCCGCAGTTACACAGCTTAAAAAAAAAAGTTACCAAATCTAGTTACATCTACCGAACGTGAATTCCTTATACAATTGAACATATTGAAAAGTTGTGGAGTTTAATGACGATGTTGTGAATGTTTTGAGTCTTGTTTGTATATCACATAAACATTACATAATTAAATATTAGGTTTATTAATATAAATATAATTAACTTAAAAATTAATATCACTCGAAAATACTACGAGTAATAAATAAAGCAATAATAAGTTGTGCAACAATTTATTGTCAAATATACTAAATATAGGAACCAATTTTTCTTTAGCTATTTTTTCCTTCCGTAAGTTTATGGTCTTATTTTCAGTAGTGATATAACTACACTTTAATCTCAAACTCATGCATTATTTTTTGATAATTTATGACCTTAGATCACTGACTTTAGCACACACTAAATCAAGAAGAATAATTAATTAGCTGTTGAATGACATTTCAGTTGTCATCTCTTCTGAAAGCGTATTTTATTTGACGAAAAAAAATTAATACGAGCTTATGAGTCAACCTCATCGACACGTACAAATAAAAAAATAATATTATCGAACATTTATTTATTTATTTATTTATTTATGTATCCCATAAGTTCAGTTCCTCTAGATCAAAAATCAGTCGGATTATAAGTACTTGTGAATTATCTAAAAACTTTTAAATTTTCCTATAATTTTTAAATAAGACGTTGTTTAAAATGTTTAAATTGATCCCTTTAGAAACTTCTTCAAACGGAGAGAACATTTATTACATCCGTCGCCAAGCAGTAATTTAACTCGATAAAACTAGATTCTTTTTTAATTACTTGTCGAGTCGGTTCTTCCCTGTAAATGTATGCAGCTAAAAACCTTCAAGTCTGATGTTATACTGATGTTTAAATGATGATAAGAATTCATTCCGAAAGAACGATTAACAGGACCCACAGAATTCTGTCTGATATCAACTGCTACAATTTTTATTTCAACCTTTCAAAGCATAAATAGTATCTACTAAAGTTTTTTTTTTGTAAACATAAAACATATAACTGTTAAATTTTACATTGTAAAGTCATCAAAGATTTTCGTATTCTGTTCTGTAAGCATTCTTTTGTAAGACTAAAATTATTTTCATGAGTTGTTCTTGAAAACAGCATAAATTATACTTCTGTAAAGGCAAAATGTGGTAGAAATCGATAAGAGTTTGTGTAGTTGAAAAGTTGGAACAAATTTGCTAAAAGTGGAGATTATATCACATAATTTTAACATGAAAAATGTGTAATATATATGCATGAAGACAGCAGTACATAAATTCATACAAAAGGGGTTGGTCAGGAATATATACTGCACAAAATAAATTACTGTTATAATATTTCAGTACACTGACAGTGTGAAGTGAAGACGTAAACAAAGTAATATTTCATTATTTATTTATTTAAAGTAAATAAATTACAATTAACTTACTGTGTTTTGAAAAAAATAATATTTGATGTAATTTTTAATAATAATTAAGGACGGTAAGGGATTTTAAAAAAAAATTGTAAGGCAGTGAACGCGGCACACAGGTAAATTAGTACTGTGTATTGTTGGTTGCAGAATAAAATATTCACAAAGTTAACGTAAAATTTATACACAGCAATAAAAATTTAACATTGTTACTATTACTGGTATATAATAATAATCCAAATAAAATTAATATTTGTATATTTTTGGCACAAGTAAAACCACAAAACGCGATTACTAGCGATGCTTTTGGTTAAAGAATATCAAACCAAATATTTTACTTAATTCCTTTTTAACTAAATAGGTAATACAAGATCATATTTTATTATTTTTAGAGATCAAATACTAAATATTTAAGTAGGTTGCCTTCTTGATTTAAAACACGAACTAATTTTATCACAAATGTGTTTACAGAGGGCTAATTTTCATCCTGCTTAGTCCTTTTAAACGTATTTTTTTAAACTTTTGACCACCGCCTTTCGAAAACGAGATTTTTTTGTAGGTGCAGCTAACACGAACATTATTACCGTGGGTTCGAGTTCATTACTTCTAAATTGCATCATTAATCAGACACCCAATTAGATTTTAACAAATTAACATAGCCATAAAAATCATATAAAATTTAGGAAAAGAATTTTAATAGAAAAAACAAAATATTACTATAATAAAGTTACGCAGACTGAATTATTCATGATAATAATGGTGCCCCCCTCGTCATAACTAAATATATTTATACACACTTCTTCATAATTAAGAAACAGTTAGATATTGCCGACTTGCTACCGAATCCAGTTTGACGACAATAAATTCTCTTTTTATGAACTTATGTAAATTTAGTTTCTATATATAGGAACCAGTTGATGATCACGTTTCTCCTCTCAAAACTGATACACAACTCACGTTGATTATTGCCAGATTTCAATAACGCTGAAAGCGCAATGCAGATTTTACCTTTCGGCCTTTAGATCATCAATCAATTTTCATTTGCTTATTAACTAATCTGACGGGGCAAATAATTACTGTAATGCTTGTTGCGGAAAATTTAGGAGTGTTACATGGTCAACATATAAATTCTAAGCTCATCCTTACGTATTACGCAATAAAAATAATATATGTACAGAAACTGTATCACATAAACAAAATTTCTTACAGCAACATTCCAAGAAAGGCGTTTCAAATTGGATATATGCTGCTACCCGAATTCGAATAAAAATAATAAATGATTTAATTCACCACACTTGACCGCCAGTTTTCACGCTCGTAACTCTCGACATTTATTTATTTCAGGTTTTTGCACCTGTTATAAATATTGTACCTTATACATTATTACTATCGAACTTTCTTAGTGACATTTATTGATATGCAAAAATTATAATAATGTATCAAACTCACCGACGGACGTACGTTCAAACCTGAAGACTATCAAACAATGGAGTAGATTAAGTCGACTTGTGACTGGACTGATGTGTTTCAACAACAGTTACTTAATTAATGAATCAGTTTTTAAGAGACGGGATATTTTAATAGTTACTTAACTATTATTTACAATATATCAACAGTTATTATTTATGATGCATACATTTATCTATATGAAATAAGTATTTATAAACCGGGTGTCGCTATAGAATTCACAACTGAACTGCTTCAACAATTTATTCAAAGGCGAAATTGACAGATGTCGCAATCCTCCTAAATAATAATTAATTATAACCACGTCCAAGATTCTGCTCGTAAGTTGTAAAGTGGGAAACTACGAGTATCACCAACATAACACCTCAGATACACCAGTTTTGGTTAGCGCTGTACTATCTTCCTGGTATTCTCAAACAATACTCTAAGTTCAGAGTAACTGGAGACAAACGTCTTGCAGTGGAAAATAATAAACCTGCATTTTCGTATTTTTCGCCAAGAAATAAAAATTATTTATTTTATCGACAAATACTTTTGTTAATTATTGTCGATTGTTGACATTGTGTATACACTTTTCACTATATTTTGAAATGTAATGGTATATAATAATTGTTGAGTATTTTTTTTCTGATAATTATACTATGCTAGATCAATCAATTTATTTTAGTGTTTGTTTTTATAAACGTCTCATTTCATTTATCCTGAAAATCTCGTGCCAGACTGTATATTACAACCGAAAAACTATTATATTCATCTCTATTGAAAAATACAAAGTAACAAATATACAACATTTTAGTTTTAGTGCTAAAGTTGGATTTTTGACGTGACTATTTAAGCTGCAAGCAGAAACAACATCCACTATCTCTGTCTTTGTTCAAAGCGTACCTACTGTAGTCTTGCAGAGAGAAATTCGTACAGTCCGTGCGGTTAGACATTGTTTAGAGATAAGCACAGTGACTCATCATCACCTGA